ACAAAAGCTCTGGAAGGTGCAGCGTGGTCACTGATGGGGAGGGGAGAAGCCAGGCAATGAGAACCCCAGGAACCCTAGAACTGGATGCACCAGGCAGTTCTGATGGCTGTGGGTGAGGGTGCAAACAGAACACTTGGCTACAAGTCTCCACGTGGAGCTGTTGGGCTTTTACTTTCCAGGCTGAGGCAGCTCTGTCCTCAGAGAACTCAGCTCAGCTGAGGGCAGCAAAGAGGAGACTTGCAGAGAAAAGAGAGGAGGTCTGAATGCAAAGGGCGAGGTGTCCAGGTCCCTTCCCCCAACTGCATCCTTAACTCAGCCTGCCCAGCCTTTACCACCCAGGCAGGAGATGAGAACACTATTCTCTGGGGAAATAGGCCCAGAATTTAAAAATCTTCATTTAGTGCCTGTCCCCACCACTGCATAAAAATGGCAGAGGAAACGCCCTGTGTCCTGTCACCCAACTGGGAGGCCTGGCCGTGTAAGCCCCATTCTTGAATATGAAGAACAGCCAAGGACACCAGACTTCTGAGGAGAGCTTCCAACACAAAGGGCAAGGACCAACGCAAACAAACAAGGAAGTCAGGAGACAAAGACAATGCAGGAAATACAAGAAAACTGCAATTAGCATCCTAGAGAAGGGGAGATACTGTCTCCAACACCAAGCACAAGGGGCTATTTTAAAAAAAGAGCAGGAAAGGGCGCCTGTGTTTTACAACATGATTAAAACAAAACAAAAGAAAACATAAAACCTTTCCATAGAAAAGTTCAAAGGTAAATACTTAAAAAAAAAAAGCTCCTGAGAACTAGAACAAAAGAGCAGAAAATCGTAAAGATTTGAAGGTCAATCCAGAAGTGCAACATCCTACTAACAGGAATTCCAGAAAGGGGGAATGAACTGAAGGGGAAATTCACAGAGGAACGTACACAAACATTTCCCAGAACCGTGCACATTGCCTGGGATGCAGGTTCAATTCCCAGTAGGGGGCATGCAGGAGGCAACTGATGGCAGCTGATGAATTTCTATCCCTCCCTCCTGCCCTCCCTCTCTAAAAATCAATGGAAAAATATCCTCAGGTAAGGAGTAACAACAACAACAAAAAACTAATCAAATAAAACAATGTAATATATATTTGCAAACAATTTTCAAGATTTCAAAAAATAGAACTCCCATGCACCCCTTTTCTCAGGAAGCTCCTGGAAGACATGCTCTAACCAAACAGAGAAGGCAAATCACGAACAAGGGAAAAATGGCATGCCAGGGAACAGGTGGTTGAGCACAGGAGAGGTGAGCAGGATCCCCAGGATGACGGTGGAGGAAAGACCAGGACAGCAGCTAAGCAGGAGGCCAGACCTCCAGACAGAGCAAGAAGAAGGGCAGGGCGGCAGGAGGAACACCACCAGAGCCAACATGTTAACTAAGTGTCTCACTTCAGAGAGGGCTTTCTTCTCATTCAGCGAAGCATTTGGGAACTAAGCAACGATGGATACATAGAAAACAGAGTAAACTAAAAAGCAAGACAAGTAGTAAGCAGAGGAAAAGCAAAGTTATACAAGGAAATGTCATCTGAAGACACCAGAAGGCTCAGCTTTGAACAATATTTATAGACATGTAATAATGCAAACACAAAATGCAAACTTAGAAAAATTGTGTATAGTCACATTAAAAAGGTGAAGAAAAGAAAACTATGTGTGTACAGTTGGAGGTAACTAAATCAAAACCTTCTAGAGGAGAAAGTCACTACTTAACACTACATAATACTGAAAAATCAAGCGACAACAGTAAGCATATTTTTAGGTTATTCTTGGGAAAATAAAAGTTTAAAGAGTTAAAAGTGGCCCAGCCAGTGTGGCTCAGTGGTTGAGCGTTGACCCACACACCAAGGGGTCCCAGTTTGATTCCCAGTCAGGGCACACGCCCAGGTTGTGGGCCTGATCCTCAGTGGGGGGCATGCAGGAGGCGGCCAATCGATGTCCTTTCTCATTGATGTTCCTATCTCTCTCTCCCTCTCCCTTCTTCTCTCTCTAAAATCGATAAAAAAAAAATTTTTTTTAATAGTTGAAAGTGCAGTGAACTTGGGAGTGAGGAGTTGGGGTAGCTTATTCCAACCATATGCACATATGACTTTAATACAAGTAAAATGTTAGTTGTTCTAATTTTATTTGGCCAGCAGAGAGCCTGGCTAATCTGAAGTAGTTCTGCAGCTCAGTCCGTCCATCCCTGCCCCTCTCCTGATCTCAGGAGACTAAGGAGGAAGGATGGAACAAATAGGGGCCACTTCCTGAACTTTAAAGGACACCCCATCACCAAGCCTGTGCAGGGATAGGTCACGCGAGCAGCTGCAGCACTTGTAGATACAAGAACAACAGGAGAGGGTCCGAGACACAGAGCAGAGGTTCAGGAAAGGGCAAGGTGAGGGCTTGCCAGCTCAGACACCACGAGCTTGTGAACTATAGTAGCCTGTACTTCAGGGCAGCTGCTGCCCTTGTTTGCAAACTGCCTGGGAGGGGCCCAGGGGACAACAGAGTTGCTAGGAGATGCAGACCTCCTTCAAGGACAAGGACCTTTACATAGCTGGAAGGAAGGTCTGAGCAGGCAGGGCCTGAACAAAGAGGCTTCTAGAGTGGGAGGAGCCACCGACCATCTGCTGCCACCTCTGGGGCATGGAGTGAGGATGATGTGAGGGCTCCCTGGCTGTGCCCCCTTCTGCCATGTACTCCAGTCTTCAGGGCCTGCCCCCAACCACACAGGAGAGGCTCCCTTGGCAGGGGACAGCTTTCTGATTCTGAATGAACAAGCCAGCAGAGGTGCTCCAGGGCACCCATGGGAGGCTGGCAGCTGAATGGAAAAGGATTCTTGGCCTCACCTTCTCCAACCCCAGCCTTTGTGGCTCCCCAGGTACCCAGAGGTTTGCTGGGGACTCTGCTGCTTCCAGGTACATCAGGCACTAGAGCCCCACCTGGCCTCAGCATTCTGCAGAGTTGGGCAGGGACATCAGCCCGGGAATTTTAATGACGCTCCGTGTGGATGAATAAAAGGCACATAGCAGGTGTTTCATAAAGTCCCTTATTCATTAAAAAAACCCAGAATGAGTGAGCACCTACCATGTGCCCGGCTCTGTCGGCGCTGACTACCGCAGAGCTGCCGGCCTCTCGGGAAGATGAGAACAAACCATGCACGTACTTAACTGCAAGCCGCGGTGAGGCCATGAGGACGCGGACAGGGCTCTGGGAGTGGAGCCACCCTCTCTGAGGGGCACCAGAGTGAAGATGGAGGAGGAGGAAGAACTGGCCGGAGGAGAGCTTTGTGGGCACTGGGCAAACACCTGATGTGCCCAGGCCAGAAAGGAGGCCAGTGTGGCGAAAGGGTCAGGTGGGGTGCGGTGTGTTAGGCACCTGATTTCCTCACCAAGTCCGAAGGCATTCCCTGTGCCCTGTGAGTCCTCAGGGACACACAGGTTCAAACTGGGACAGAAACAGAGACTCCAGTTTCTCAGGGGACGGGCATGCACCCAAATATCCATGAGGCCCAGGGCCAAGGACAAAGTCCTCCCAGGTCAGGAAAGCAGACCATCTGTCATGGTCAGAGTTGCCTGGCCACAGCACAAGGAAAACCACATCTGGTCTCTACGGAAACCAGCAGTGCAGGTACAGGAGGAAACGGGGAATGCAGGACACGGAGACGAGGGCGAGCATCAGAGAGGGGATTTTAAATCCAAGGACCCCACCTCCCCGACCCTGCTGGCCTGTTTGGGTGCAGGCCAGGGCATCCCTGGCCTGTGACCTTCCTCGGCCTCTAGCCCCTTTTCTTCTTCCTTCACCCATGGTCTACATGGAGATTTGTAACCTGCAATTTCCCACTGCATCATATTTTTATGCATCAACAAACAGTAAGAAAGACGATCTAAAAATCTCTGTACGGCCTATGAGGCTGTGTATGTCCCTGTCCTTGCCTCCCAATGCAATCCCCACTCCAGCCACCGACCCCATCCCTGGTGGGACACACTGGGACTCCTCCCTCCCCTGGGAATTAGCTCTCCTCTCAGCCCAGAATGGATTCTCCTCCTCAGCCTCCCTCTGACAGACACCAACTCATTCTCAGCTCCCTGCCTTCCCCGGCCAGGACCACTGGGCTCCGGGGAGACAGCGTGCCTGTCCCTGTGGTGACTGCTTAGGTGGCACAGGCTCCCAGAGGGCAGGCAGGGTAAGAGGTGGCTCTCCTCTTTGCAGCCCAGTGCCCAGCACTGGGCCTGGCCTGTGCTTAGAGCTCAGTACCAGAGCAGGTAATGCTTCTACGTCACATGCAAGAATGGAGGTCCCCAAAAGCAGTGAGTCACCTTCTTGGGTGGCATAGTAGAGCTCCTCCTAGGACAAAGCCCTAGAATTGAGACACATGGAGAGGAAGGCCCAGCCTTGCCAGAGCCATGCCACAGACCACTGGATAAACCCCGACCCATCTGTAGCTGGAGTTTATCCACAGACCACTATCGCTGCCTGTGCACTGCATCGGAGACACCGCACTGAGAACCGAGACTCAGGTGGAAGAGCTCCTGCTTCCAGGTATCGGTGCTGGTGCTCTGGGAGTCACATCACAAGGGAATCTGCAAGGTGAGACTCTGGCTACATCTATGCTGCTCCCCGTCGATTTGGGCCTGGATGGAAACCCTGAGGTGCGTAAAGAGGTGAGGGGTGGCCCGGCCAGTGTGGCTCAGTGGTTGAGCATCAACCCATGCACCAAGAGGTCGCCGGTTGGATTCCCGGTCAGGGCACATGCCCAGGTTGTGGGCCGGATCCCCAGTGGGGGGCATGCAGGAGGCGGCCAATCGATGTTCTCTCTCATCAATGATTCTATCTCTCTCTCCCTCTCCTTTCCTTTCTCTAAAATCAATAAAGAAAAAAATAAAAGAAGTGAGGGGTGGCCCCTCAAGGAAGAACTGGGGAGAGGGGCTGTGGCTCCTAGACCCCAGGCAGGAGGGGGGTGCTGCCCGCCCACACGTCCTCACCCTCGTAGCAGTCTCGCACAGTGCCGAAGTACACGTAGTACTGGTCGTTGGTGAAGAAGAGGAGGCTGAGCCAGGAGTCAAAGGCGTAGATGGGCACGATGAAGAGGATGCGGACGATGTAGCGCTGCTCGTTGGGGCAGCTGTAGCAGCGCAGGTGCATGTAGATCTGGGGGCAGAGGGGCAGTGTCAGCCGGAGACCCAACTGTCCCGATGGTCAGCTGTGCGCCCCCCGCCCCTCTGCTCCACAGGAGGAGGAGGCCAGCTGAGGGGACATCTAGCTCCGCCACTGACAAGTTCTGTGACCAAGTTACTCAACCCTGAGCCTCAGCCTACTCCTCTGTAAAATGAGATGATGAAACTTCCGGTGTGAGGCTGCTGTGAGATCAGACCACGGGGTGCAGAAAGCTTGCGGGGTGCAGGCAATGGCATCGAGGCCGGCCTCACAGACCACACCTAAGACTGTCCAAATCAGAGCCGGAGAATCCAGCTGTAACAAGCACCCTGGGGACCCTCATGCACAGCCAGGTTTGTGTGGTACAAGGTTTTCAGTGTGTGTCCTTACCCCCCACCTTCCTAAACACCTGATCCCTGGGCCGTGGAGCCACCCTGCCCCATGCCTTAACTAACTTGGGGTGTGGAGGGTGGGACAGACAGGACCCTCACTTCTACGGAAGGTGAAAGCACTTCCTGACCGAGCGGCTGCAGTGATGTCCCCATCCTGTGTCTTACTTTCCCAGTTGTGGAACAGAGGCAGCGCTCCTGCCTCATGGGGCAGTTGGGCAAATAAAATGCAGTTTTTAGAAAGCAGAGGAAAAAAAAATAAAAGCTACACACACATGCCAAGAACTGCTCTAGCTGTGATTCTCGTCCCAGCAGCCCGTTTCTCCCATCCCAGCTCTCATGACTTCACACTTGGCCCAGCCGAGCCCTGGGCTTGGGAGGAAAAGAATAAAATATTCCCTATCTGCAATGAGCCAACTGCCTTGGAAATAGCTGGGTTCTAAAAGGACAGGGAACATAGAGCAATGAGTGAGAAGCTGAAAGGGAACCCGAACGGGCTCAGCCTTCCATCTTTGCTGATAACCTTCGAAATTCTCCTTCCTCAGGCAGCCAAGGCACATCTCAGCCCATACCAGGCTCCTCTGGGCCCACAAACACAGGGGGACAGGATGCTTGACTTCTACCCAGTTCTGCCACTGACCTGTACATAAATAGGCTAGTCCCCTCCCCTGCTCCCTCTCTGGCTCAGCTTTCTCATGTACAAATGGGTCACTGACATACAGGTGTCATGCACAGTCCCCAGGCTCCCTGAAGTTTAGGCTGGACATGTGACCAGTTGTGGTCCATGGACATGAGCAAAAGAGATGAGTGTCATTTCTGGATCTAGAAAGGTAAATATCCAGAGTACCTGCCCACATGTCCCTCTTCCCAGTGCTCAGAAGGATGACGCCTTGCTGCAAGATGCTGGAGCCACAGAATGGAACCTGACCTGCACTGGGCTGGGATGTGAGCAAGAAATCAACTTCTATCAGGTGAAAGCTCCTGAGACGTGGGGTTCACTTGCTGCTGCTGCTACCTTGCCTGCCCTAGCCTAACTAATACCTTGTTGGACTAGAAACCTCTCAGGATCCTTCTAGAGGGCCTCTGGGCTCAGGGACTCCTCACGGGTCCAGGTACCTGGTGACAGGTGATGAGAAGAGCTGTCCAAACAAAGAAACCGGAGATGGCCTGAGCTGCAGTCGTCATCAGAAACACAGGCTGTTCCATGGCTGTGGGGCTGCCCTCGGGGATCTCGGAGATGCTGGGCGAGGCTGCCACGGTCGTGGGCGATGCTGGATCCGGGGCCAGTGCGGCCCCCCTCACCGTCATGGTGCCTAGCAGCAGGGGGCTCCCTGAGAGAACCCCTGGGAATAAGTGATGAGCTAACCTAGAGAGAGGAAATCACAATGTTAGCCTCCTCCAGGACAAGTGGAAGAATCTCCCAGGTTTCTACGTTCACCTTCAAAATGTGAAAATGTGGCCCTGGCCGGTTTGGCTCAGCGGTTAGAGCGTCGGCCTGAGGTCCAGAGAGACTCGGGTTCAGTTCCCACTAAGGACCCGTACCTCGGTTGCAGTTTGAAGCCAGCCCTGGTTGGGTCATGCGGGTGGCAGCCACTCGATGTGTCCCTTTCACATCGATGTTTCTCTTTCTCTCTCTCTTCCTCTCTCTCCCTCCCACTCTATCTGAACAAAAAATGGAAAAATGTCCTCAGGTGAGGATAAAAAAAAAAAAGTGAAAATGCACCCAGACTCTGACCACGTATCATCCTGGCCCTAGCCATCATGCTGGTCCTAACCTCACCATGTCTCCCCTGAGTTAATGGAACAGGCTCCTGACCAGTCTCTCTGCTTCTGTCCCCGTCCCTGCTGTCTAATCTCCATACAGCAGCTGAGCAAGCCTTCTAAGATGTTAGCTAGACCCCTCCCTCTCCACTCAAAACTCTCCAAAAGCTCCCATCTGCTTCAGAGCAGAAGCTGCCACCCCTAACATGGCCCACAAGACTGCCCTCCATGGCTCTGATTGTATCTCATCTCCTGCAGTTCCCACCTGGATCCTCTACTCCAGTTACACGGGCCTCTTGCTACCCTTGAGCATGCCATGCCTGCTCCTGCTGCAGGCCTGAGATGCCTGTCTCTGCCCAGCTGCCCAGCACTTCTCAGGTCTCTGCCCTGACTGGCCCTGCAATATGGCAACCCCTGCCCCACCCCAGGGACTCCTGGCCCCTTTCCTTGCCTTTTCTCCAGAGCACTCACTATCTGACTCCATCTGACAAACAACACTTACTCACATATTTGTTAACCATCTGCCTCTTTGCATCGACACAAGCTCCCCGAGAGCAGGGGCTCTGCTCTGCCCACAACTGGACCTCCACCACCTGGAACAGTGCCAGGCACACAGCAGGAGCTCCGTAAACACCTGCCCCTGCTGATCCATGCATCTTCATTTTCCCATTCTAGCAAGACCACTTGATCGCTCAGATCATCTCTAAAGGGCTTACACCTTTTCTTTCCCATTTCCCCCCATTTCCTTAGTGGCTGACACCCACTCCTCACCACCCAGCTGTGTTGTTTTTGGAGACTCTGTGTGTACCTTCAAACTGCCCATTTTTTAATTCAGCTCATGCATCACTCTTCACGACCTGCACATGTTTATCCTCCTAAGACTGCTCACTCTTTTAGGCAAAACCATACTTCCTTCTGTCTTTAAATCCCCAGCACCAAGCTCAGCACCGAAGCCATTTATAACATGCACTTTATTGCATTCCTTATTTCAAAAGGAATGTGAGGTACTATACAGAGAAGCAAAGAACAGAGCTGAAGAAATTAACATAAAGGAAGACTCCAGGCAGGAAAGTAGAGATGCGGCGGGTAAGAACAGGACACATTCCAGGGACCTGTGCAGGTGCCCAGGCAGGCTCTCATGCCACCCAGAGCTTCTAGTGGCAACTTCAGTACCCGTGGTAACAAATTAATAAGTAAAAAAGTAAACCAGATGTTACTCCTTCCAAATTTACAAATGAGGACCAATGCTGGGCTGGAGGCTGGAGGCTGGAGGCTGGAGGCTGGAACCACTTTAAAGAGTTGGAATGCTCCTAGGAGGGCTGGCGGCGCCTGTGCTCCTATACCCAGGGGCCCTGAAAGGATTTCCCTTCAGTGCTGCCACCTGTTGACAGGCTGGTCAACACCACCCAAGAGTCACTGCATCTTCCTCCAGCACAGGCCCTGGAAGACTAACTGCTGGAATCCCAGGCTCTGGAAACAACTTGCAATGTGACCAGGGCCATCTGACCACTGCTGAAATGGATGCAGTGTGGACCGTGTGGACACTGTGGGAAGAGCCCTAGCTGGAGCTCAAGCCCCAGGACCCCACCAACCAGCCCTGTGTCCCCACACAGGTTCACTTTGCCCCAGAGGGCCTCTGCTACCTGACCCAGAAAATGGCCAAACCCTAAAACCCAACCAATCTCAGCCTGAACCCCAAGGGCAGCCCCCATGACCTCTCACAATTTCCAAATCTAAGCTGATATTGTCAGCCAGAGCACACTGACACCAGTGGGAGGTGTCCCTGGGCCCTCCTGGAGTCAATGGGCCTATGACCTGACCCGATGATGTCTCCCCACGCTCCCCGGCTTGGCCCTGGCCCTCCCCAACGTCTCCAGCATCCTCTGCCACCATCTGCACCACGTGTGCTCTTAGCTAAGTTTCACCATAGGAGAGCCCTTTACAGCTTTTTTTCCTGTAAAAATAAAAGAGCTCCAACACATCGGCCAAGAGATGGGTCTAGATTAGTATCCATAAATGGAGAAGATATCTATATAAAGAAACTAAAAAATGAAGAAGTCTGTATAAAGATTGGTGGCAAGCTTTGAAAAAGAGACACAGTGACAAGTCTAAGAATAGCTCCTGTAAGAGTGGTTGCAAAGTTGAAAACCAGTGCCAGAAATATTTCTTTAAAAAAAAGACTTGGGTTGTAAATCATGATCTCTGTCTATCTTCCCAAATTAAATGAACAAACAAGGGGAGTCGAAAGGTGGGGGGTGGGGGCAGAGGAAGCACAAAGACTCCCAAATCCTCACCTTCTGAGCAGGAGTGTGTCAAAGGCTGTTTGGTTCCAAGGGCAGTATGGAGAGTCCCTGCACAGTCTCCCCAGCCAGGGCCACTGCTGCTGTCCGACCCTACCCACAGGAGGGGACACCAGCAGGCTCCAGGGCCAGCTATGTCATTCACACTCAAGTGCCTCTCTCTTAACCCCAGAGTGACGCTTGTCACTCAGAGTTCTCTCGCATTCCTCATGTAGGTCATCCAGTTCACAAGAAGAAATCCACTGAGAGAGAATGGGTGACCTGCCCCAAAAGCAGAGCCAGGGCTCAAACTCAGGTCCTATAAACACGCTGTCTCCCCACCAGGCCGGGATGAGCCCTGGATGGCCTGGACCTCCACTCCAGAACCTCCTACCAGACAGGGTCACGCCTACCCTACCACAGCTAAGAGACCGTCCTCACAGGAAGGGGAGGCAGGGCCTCCCAGGGAGGTGGCCTGACCAATGCCCGCCATGTTGTTGCACCATGCCCTGTGGTTTACAAATCATTTCCCCAAACATTCTCTCTAGTTTTTTTCACAGCAGCTTTGAAGTAAGTAACATTTTCTCCAACTGAGATGAGAAAAATAATGTAGAACTTGGTTTTTCAGTCTCCTGGGGTAGCACCAAATGACTCAAGGGTTTTCATAATGTCCCCCAAAGCACTTGAAGCAATATTCTGATCAGACGCATGGATGGCCCTGGCACCCGGGAGAAGCAGGTGATGGGAGCTCCTCAAAGGCTGTCTCCCAGAGCTCACCCTGCTCCCCGGACCCAGGACAGCACATAATGCTGGACCTCACAAACTGTTCACAGTGTGGCCCTGGCTGGTTTGCTCAGTGGTTAGAGCGTCAGCCCACGGACCAATGAGTCGTGGGTTCGATTTTCGTCAAGGGCACGTACCTGGGTTGCAATTCGTCTCCTGCCCTGGGAGGCAGCCACTCGATGTGTCCCTTTCACGTCGATGTGTCTCTCTCTCTCTCCCTCCCATTCTATCTGAACAAAAAAACGGGGAAAAAAGTCCTCGGGTGAGGATTAAAAAACAAAAACTGTTCACAGTGTGTATCTGTTGGGGGTGGGGGTAGACACTGGAGTCCCATCCTTTCACACTCAGGATAGACACCTACCTGGGAAAAATCTCTTGCCTGCCCAGGTTTCACAAGTAAGCAGGACACTGGCCTGGCACAGCCCCTAGGCCTTGGGGAGGCAGGGACAGTATTGGCTGGTGCAGTCCCTTTGCTGCCCTGGGGTGAGGGATTTGGAGAAGGGCCTCCAAGTCTCCCCTTTTTCAATGCAGACCATGCATCCTGATGTGGGAAGGATGCACAGGATGGAGCTCAACCCCAGATGCTCTGGCAGGTCCGCCTACTTTCTTCTTTGACCAAATGTTAAACTTTCACCAGGGACATAGCAGAGAGCCCTGAGGGAGGATGCTGGAATCATCTTCCCAACAAACATGTCCTGAGGCCTCTGGACACTGTGGTGGGCACTGGCAGACCCAGTCTTGGCCTCGAGGAGCTCACAGCTCCTCCATATACCTGCTCTACGAGACAGGCAACCTGGAGGCCTGGGCCCACTGCACAGCATGAGATGAGTGCCCAGCATGAAGGGAGCTGCCTTGGTCACAGCTGGGGGAGGGGCAGGGGAAGCTTCAAAGTGGTGGGGACTTTGGGGCAGTCTTTAAATGGTATAACCAAGCCTCAGATTTGCAGGCACCAAGCAGGATTCCCGCCACACTCCACCACCTGCTAGCTTGGGCAAATGACTTCACCTCTCAGAGCCTCAGTTTCTTCATCTATTAATATTTTAGGGTAACTACCTTATTGACAAGGGAGTTCCCTAGGTAAAAGGAAACAGAATAAAATTTTAAAATGACCATTTTACTCCTAGTACAAATAATGGATGTAGACATGGGTCATCAGTGGATGATAAAACTACTAAGTGATGGGGAATTTGATAAGGGATGGATGGGGCCACACAGGTAAACCCACAGTCAAGATCAACATGACTGAAATGGGGCACTGGAAGTCTTAAGCCTCCTAAGTGCCTGCACGGGAAGCACACAGCACCACCTAAGAAGGGCCCTTGCCCAGAAAGTGAACTGGGATTGAAACAAGCCTCTAGAACTAACCACCAGTACCCAGGAAATATCGAGAGTAGCAGAACAGATTAAATGATGCCATGAGCAAGCAGCAGCCAAATCTAGACCACAGAACAATCTACAGGACAAATGGCCTGGTTTTTCCAACAAATTAGTGGCTTATCAACGAGGGTGGTTGAGGGGTTGTTACAGAAAAAGAGACTCAAGA